TCCGCGGGTTATTGGGTAGAGCTGTGGAATTTGAATCAGAGGTCCTTTGAAGTAGGTTCTATACCTTGACACTCTTGACAGTGACATTGCTTTTCAATTGGAAATATAGATGTTTTCAAGTGAAAATAGCTTTTACCCGCCATTTCTGCACTAATAGAAATTGCTCATTATTACAGAAATTGCTGTTAAATAATAATAATCATGAATCAGTTAATGTAGATTGAATTGTCTGAATATTAATATTTATTTTATTAACAGCTACGTCCATGTGGAATTTATTAAAAGTTATAAAGGCTGAAAGTGCGCGCTCTCTGCAGTCGTCGGTATGTTCTTGAGAGAGATCTTCGGTTCTTTGGTGCGCTCGATGATCGCTCTTTTCTCTGTTGCACCGACGAGTCTTCAGCAGAATCGAGATTGTTCGTGTCTCATTCTCGCTTATTTACTACAGCGGCGGTCTCTCTTTGAAGTGACCCATCGTACACCGCGGCGAATGGACAGATGGAAGCAATATTATACACTACGCTGTCTACGGCAGAGCGTGCGAACAATTTTAGAGAAGTGGAATAATGGATATAACTAGTGGGGCGCATGGCATCTAGCCTTAAGGCAAATTGCTGGAACTTCCCCTACCAAATATAATTATTTTTTTAAAAAACGATTAACATTTTTGAAAAAAATTGACTTCGAAAAAATTAGATTTTTGAGAAACTAGGAACTTGACAAAAAATTACTTTTTTTGAAAAGAAAAATTTTTTGTGAAAAAAAAAATGTTTTCTTTATTTTGACATATTTTGGAAATTCTGAACTTTTTTCAAAGCAATCGTACTGCTTTAAACTGCATAGGGATCGTTCAAGTATTACGTAAGCAGATTTATTACAATTATTTACCCCCCCTCCCTTTGTCAGCAAAAGTAAGCAAATTTCTTACCAAAAATAAGCAAAATAAGCAAATCAATAACCCCCCGCCCCCCTATAGTGCTTACGTACTACTTGAACGGCCCCATAGAGACAAAATGTCAAAGCGTGTAAGCGCCGCATCGCTGTTTAACGAATAAATATTGGTACGGAACCCATAGGAATGCAAAAAAAAAATTATACTTATTGTTAAAATCTCTATAAAATATATGATAATTTGATGTGCATATGTCTACTGATCATTTTTGACCGCCAAATGACATCTTTTTTACTTTTTTTTATCAGATCTCCGAAACCGCTGGATCTGCCTATATGAAAATTTGATCAATTCTTCATCTTGTCAATATAAGTAAAACGTTTTTTGAATTATTAAAATCGGACGCTCCGTTCCGTTCTCTTAAAAACTGAGTTACCGTTTTTGGCACTTTTTGCCCCGACCTGCCTTCGCCAAAAACTGATCAGCACGTCTCCTTATCAGTATGGATCGAATGTTTTTTGAATTATTTAAATCGGTTGATCGGTGTTTCCGAAATCGTCGACGAAAATTTGTATCCGCACACACACACACACATACATCCATTTTTTCTAAGGTATGCCAAAATGTTCAGAAACTTTTGAAACGTAAAGATATATAAAATTTTTCATTTTCGATAATTTTGCGATTACTATAACTTGCCCTACGAGAAGTTAAAAATTTATCTTAGAAAAAAGAAAATTCGGGAAATTGAAAACCGAGACACAAGATAAATTTATAGAAATTTATAACTAAAAAGTGGTATTTAATCAAGTTAAGAAAAACGGGCTACTAAATTGTGGTGCCTTCGCATCATGATCAAAACCAATCATAATAATATTTAGTTAGTAAGTCATTTAACCAATATAAAATTTGGGTAAAATAAACCAATATTATGCAAGGCTATGTTATGTAACAGTTTTTCACATAAAATAGTACCAAAAACTGTCAAAATCCTGGTGGTTGCTGGGCGGTCACGTGTTTCATATAGAAAACCTAAACTAGAAAAAGCACAAGTATCATAACTGAATATTTGAGATATGGCTTGATAACATATGAGTGAAGTTGTGTAAAACGCCTGATCGCACAGCAAATATATGGCATTTTGATAGTAATTAGTAGTATTTACAAAAACTTGAACGTAACATAGCCTTGTCGTATCATTGATCTATTTCACGATAGAATCGGCCAATTAGTTTCATGTAAAGACGATGTCCTACTAAAATATCGCAAAACCAATTTTTTTGGTAATTAACAAAGAAAATGCCACACAATTCAAGTCAATATTATCAGTTGATAGCTCTTAGCTTTCAATAAAATTTTAGGTAAAAAAAATAATTAAACTTGATCAAATCTTTTATGTGTTAAATTTTGATTGACTAATTTGAGTTGCAAACCCCTGTCCCACGGCATTTTAAAGCATACTGATACATCGGCGATAATAAAAACAAATTAAATACCGTACTACAAAAATCATATGCATAAAACCTCCACGACATAGATATTTGATAGAAATTGGAAGAAAGTATTCAATTTCTTAAAATAACTAGTCCAAATTTTCATTTTGTGCATCTGAAAGAGAGGTATGTAATTCCAAGCATTTGTGTAATTCCGGAAAAAAATCATAGACAAATATAAATACGAATTATCTTTTGCGATTATAGAATTATTCTAACATTGAATAAACTACAAGGCTTTACTCAACCTCAATCCTTTTTTACAACAGTACCTGGCGGCATCAAAAAGTTTCTCAAGAAACTAAACTCGTTAATTGTTATAAATAAAAACAATACTAAAATAATTTTGATAAACAAATATCATAGCTAGTATCATCGTACAAGCACAAAAAAACTAAACTGATTAATACAGTCATGAAAATTGGGATTGACAGACACTGCTTTATGACCATGTTTTGTTCATGCGTTTTCCAGGAACTACCGACACAGCAAGTAATGGCGAGCCCCATAAACCTTTCAAGGATAATAATCCCTTTAACAGTGGTGTACGTGCGATTTTATTTCTTTCACAACTAATGATAAAAAGATGTTAACACAAAAAATAATGTCGAACGATAATTTAAATTATTTTCGCCAATACATGATATAAACTTCTAAAGTAGCATAAATAATCGATCCCAAAAAGTCGTGGAATAGAATTAATTTTATTGTATGAAAAAGTAACATTTCTGATGTTTTTTTATATGTTAAAGAAAGGTTAAAGATGCAATTTCGATATGTGATCGTAAAAACCAATTTTCAAATTCACAACAAATCAGGATTATAAATCAATTATATACATGAGAAATTTTATATTCTTTCTTTTATTATTTTAAACTTATTATATTTCACAGTATATGTTTTTTTTAAATTTTGAAAGTCATATTATTCGAATAAAGTCATAATATTGATATTTATCCTGGTTTTCAAGAAATGGAGTAACCCCTTTTAAATTACATAAATTGGTTAAATCTTAATATCATAAAAATAGATATAGGAAGTTTCTAATAATTTCCTTTTCTAAAACGTACTGAACCGAGAAAGTATACTGAGCATATATACTTATCCCGAATATACGGTATTAATAATATAATATATAATATGTATTGCGCATCTTGCTGCATTAAAAAAAAAAAAAATTATTGTTCTTCAAAGATATAGAATTTGAATATATATATATATATATATATATATATATATATATATATATATATACTTTGATAACCACTAATAATGACATTAAATTGAATGTCGAAATGTTTGGAATTAAAGACTAATTTATAAATCTTTGCTTTCTATTCTTATCGCCCACAAGAACTTACTGATATATCTCAACATCAAAAATAACAATAAATCATATATATATATATATATATATATATATATATATATATATATATATATATATATATATATATATACGAGTAAATATATATATATATATATATATATATATATATGCATGCTCATTTATTATTTAATGAATCTCATATTTTGCTTCTTTATAAACGACTATCAAGAATGGCAAAATATTATTTGAGAGTTCAGATACTGCTGATCTATGAGATATATGAACATCTAATATAAGCGTTGTGTCTAAAAAGCGATTGTATGATATGATTATTAAGTTTTGCCTGACAGAAAACAGGAGTATTGTACACTTGTGCAAAATTGCCAGATTCATCGAGTACCAACAAAACCAAAGCTGTTCTATCTATCGAGCTGTAAAACAATATGTGCATAAATTCTACTTATTAATTTAATCGCAGCAATAATTATTTAAACTTCTTTTAGAAGTATTTCATAGTTCTTCCCATATTAATGTTTAACCTTACTTTTCGTGATATGAAGGATGATGTTTCATAGATTATACATTTGAAATTCGTCTATATAAATAAGCCATAATAATTATTAATAAAATTTAAATGAAAATATAAATATAATATTTACCTTTTACACCTTTTTGTAGGCTCAGTTTATAATTTATTTCATTTGTATAAATCCAAGCACAGTTATGAACGAAAACACAATAACATTAACCACAACACAAATAAGACTAAAACTTATTATATAAATAATTAAATAACATAAATAACAACAAAAAATAAACAAAATAAAATTAATATACAAAATTAGGCATTTTCCAATTCACTGCACAGGTTTTGGAACAAAATGAAGCATGCAACAAGAAGTAAAACAAACTAACCTGAAGTTGCTTATTAAAAAGTAGCAACGACTTCAAAAAAAGGCGCCAGAACTGATCAATATATTTAAGAAATGCGGATGGTTTTTGTTTCTCAATAATAATTGTATATTTAGCAACTATACCATACAATTTTCTTAATATTTTAAAAAACAAATATGAGATACAATACTATGTATTATAACAACTAATTTACACTCATAAATAAGAGTACTCTGATTAATTTAAAAATTACCGTCTACACTGATTAATTTAAAATTGACTGATATGAACAATTGACTTTTAATATAAAATTATGTACATGAGTACTAATTGCTATTATAAAAGAAAACTAACTATACAAATTATTTCCTGCAACTAATATAATTATGTATATGCCACTGATGCTTTATTATAAATATTTATTTATATTTCATTAAAACTCTACAATTAATTTAAAAATAATCTTATTCAATCTCTACAACTGCACCAACTTTTGACAAGGCTTCTTTTAGTTTTTCTGCCTCATCTTTGCCAATATCTGATTTTACAACTGTAGGTGCACTTTCAACAAATTTCTTAGCTTGAACTAAATTCATTCCCTCCAATAGCGTTTTTATTTCTTTAATAAGTGCTACTTTTTGTTTTTCATCAAACTTCATTAGTTTGACCTGAAATTCAAGAACAATATTGGGTTTCAGCATAAATAGAAAGTACGATCGTAAAAATTTAAAACCTCAATGTTTTTCACAATAAAACTGACCGTAAAAGATGTCTGTACTTTTTGTTGAACAACTTCTTCTTCATCCTCAGCTTGACTGGCAGCGGGAGCAAAACCTCCCATTGGCATCATAGGTGCATCAGGTAGATTTAATCTCTTTTTCAATAAAGTAGTTAGCTCTGAAACCTAATAAATATACGAATCATTTACAATTTGCCCATTTTTCTTTATTTTTGAAATTAGATAAGACTCTTAGTAAATACCTCAAGTAAATTCAATTGTGCAATGTCCCCAACAAGCTTCTCCAGTTTTGGAGATACTACTTTTTCTTCACCTTCTGGTTGGGGAACAGATAACTGTGGTACGCGACTAGTGGTTTGAAAACTTTGGGCTAATAACACTCTATTGCAAAACAAATGTATAATTAATTTCATAAATTATAATTATTACGACTATAACCTAAAAACTAAGTTAATGATTTCACACTACAAAATTACCTGTGGGCACTGCACCATTGGGCACGGGGCCTAAACAAAACTTTAAGTCCTTGCATATTCTAATTTATGTATTAGTTAAAATTTCCCAAGATGCTATTAAGTAATTTGTAAAAAAATTTATCTCCACAACTCACAGGAATGGTTGTTTCTCTTAGCCAATGTGAAGATAGTAAGTTTAGTTAAATTAAATGATCAAAACAGTTACTCCATCTTCAAAACTGTGTTTTATTTTTTATTCAAACCCTCAGATAAGAGAGAATTCAATTCATATAAGGTGAGTTTATAGATTAACATACTATTTTCTTTTTACGATTTATATAAAATTATAATTATATTTTATTCATTTATTAACTATATTGTATATAAACTCACTCTGGAGTTCATAAACTTCGTAAGTGTTTGTGCACAACTTTTGGTTACTGTTTTTGAAATCATAAAAATTATGGATTAATGAAAGCTGTAAAATAATGAAATTAAATAGTTTTAACTACCAATGCTATTTTTGTATTATGTCTAAGATTTATTTCGTATATTGCAAGATAGTATGCTCAAGTATAATATTACGTAAATGATCATTTGCGTATCTCATTGATTTAACAAGGAATGCTGATATGAAATGATAAAAAATACATCTACAGAAGGAACAACAAATGAATTAATAAAAATATATATAAATTTATTTACATTATTATAAAATACATGACTTAATTACTTTCTAAAACTATATAATTTATGTTTAAAGTTTTAATAAAGATATGAACTCTCAAAAAGGAATCTTGCATTTATCAAGTTAACCACTGAATGAGTCTTTCTGTCTTCGAATTTCAGCCATGGTTCGTACTTTGCACCCCGTATGTCCAGCATATTGTTGTACACAAACATCATCCACCCTCATAAAAGGATTTATCATTTTTTCTTTAGCAATACTAGATGGTACCTAAAAGTATAATTTTAAAATGATTATAATTTCAATATTATCTTTACATAAAATTTGATCATAAAGTAGAAGAAGTTAAAAGATATCTGTGTAATTGTTATAAAATATTATTGCTCTATGAATTTATTTGATGAACATTTTATGCTTTCTGCAATAGAACAATGTTTTGAATTACCGTTGGTGTGTTCTTATTTCTCAAATCCGATGCCCATTTTATAGCTTGCTCTACTTGTTTGTTTGTAGGATCTACTTTTTTGGCAAATTTTAAGTTTTGCATTGTATATTCATGACCACAAAACACTTTCGTTTCATCAGGTAAACTTCCAAGCACAGACATGGCATGACACATTTGTTCAGCAGTACCTTCGAAAAATCTGCCACAGCCACCAATGAACAAAGTATCTCCTATTGACAAAAATTAAAATAATTTATTTTAGATAATGATAAATGCTCATATTTTTTTTTTGAAAATGAAGTCATGTTTACCTGTGAAAACAGCATTATCACCTTCAGCAGAAGTAATATAATAGCACATGTGTCCTTTAGTATGGCATGGTGTAAAGAGACATTGTACATCTAGAGATCCAATGCATAAAGTATCATTATTGGATACTTTATTTGTAAGGCAATTTATTCTCTCGTCTCCACCAAAAACCTCAAGACTTGGCACATGTTTTACTAAATTGTCATTTCCTCCGGCATGATCCCTAATATGATCATGGGAATTACATGTGAATGCTATGAGAATTTAGTGATTGTATCACTAACAAGGATAATTACCAATGATGATGTGTTGTGAGTACTTTTGTCAAAGTGGCCCCTTCTTCTTTTACTGCTGCTAGCACAGTATCCGGTTCAACAGGATCTACAACTGCAGCCTGTTTAGTTTGCTCGTCTATTATCTGGAATTAATAAAAACCTAATAAATAATAAGACCTAATAAATGCAGAGAAGATAATACATATTAAATTCAAGAAAACGCAAAATCCCCAAATCTCAAAAGTATCTAATTAGATTCCTATTGCAAATGAATGGAAATGAGCAGATGCTCATATGTAGAGTATTGTAAACATATATGCATATATTTGAAAATGTATGACATACGTTGCCAAATTTGTTATTAAATAATAATATAAAAATTGTGTATATGTGTATACCATAGGTGTATACTAACCAAATACATATAGTTATCCTTTAAAGCGGGTAATATTCTGATCTTCATTTTATCTAAATCTACAACAGCGTCTGTACTATGAAATCCTCTTCCTACGCACCTTGCTGTGAAACAAAATTAAAAACAATCACAAACAAATCACGAACAATGAATTTTCTGCCATTCCATAAATGTCACAAGTTTTGTTTTGATTTTTAAATTTGGCTAACCTTATAAAGGGCGTTACCTTTAAAATATAGAGCTGTGATTCTTTGTGCCACGCCGTTCGGCAAATTTCTTAACATTAAACCGATCATTTAAATTTGAAAATAATTTTGATGTTTAAATGAGAAATGAAAAAATAATACAAAAAATTTATTATCTCTTTGGAGCGCACATTCAAATGAACGGCACACTGTGCGATCACAACAAAACTAAACGCATGCGTCTCGCGGAACGCGGAGTCGACGCGTACATCTAAGTTGATGATTGGGGGAGAATTTTATCATGGGTGTTATAAAATATTATGTTAATAATGTGATTGTTAAATAATAGTGTTTATGTTGAATATATTTTATCAAATATTTGTTCGTAGTTGTTATAGTACAAGTAACGTCCAGTTCCCACACGTTATGTATTGCTTTTGCGGTTTTTCCTGAACGGATCAATATTGAATCATATTCTGACAGAAATTGGAGTATTATAGTAACAAGGATCTCAGAATATATAATTTTTCATATAATTAATACAAGTATACATATTGCTCACTAGGTTTTTAAGATGCCAATAGTAAATATATTAAAACGAGCATCTAGTTACATATACGGATCAGAGGACGAAAATGACTCGGAGATGAAATATTCAGATAACGAAATATTATTTTGTAAGAACAATGTATGTGTGCATCCTCCAACGATGGCCAGACAAGAATATGATGTTGTGCATCATCCTGGATATCTTACTGTCACAACAAAAACTTTTATCGATCAATATAACAATGCCAAAAGACCAACTTTATTTTTAAATTGGATTCCTAACACAACTTTGAGAAAATGCCCGTCAACGGTTGAAAATAACGTAACAGATGAACTAAAACAACATTTTCATGAACCACAAGAAATTAAACAAAACGGTAAAAATATAGAACTTCATAACAATGAATCGACTATTATTAATCAATCACCAGTAATAAACAATCATTTAGTAACTCAGACTTGTCGTAACACTAATCCTTTTCTCGAACCTTATCCTGTTGATGAAATAAATCTTGAAGTGGCTAGAGCAATTGATTTATCAGAAAGCTTAAGTATGAGTTCTGTGTCAGATAAATTAAGTTCTTTATCGGCTGAGCTGTCTCCTCAGAGACCAGCAGAAGAGGAACCTCAATTCTGCGATGAACAAGAACCACTTTTAAGACCTGGTGACACGGAACCGGCCGTCACATTTCCGGAGAGCATTCCGGAGGATGATCATTCTGTGACCTCGGTCAGTATAACAATAGCAGATCCTTTAATAGAGAATATAGCAGCTGTAAAAGAAGATACTTTTATGAGATCAGTATCCGTTAGTTCTTGTGAAGACAGCATTAGTCCGAACTGGATGTCCACCCCAGAATTATTTGCTCTAAAACACAATTTGTCTTTCCCGGAAAGCGTGAGTGCATCTCCAGTTATGACAAGGAAAATGCCTCTAAAATGCAGAAGGTAATTATAAAATGAATTCTAGGATAAGTGATAAATAAAGAAAAATATTATTTTTTTTATTATATAGTAATTTTTACACCAGTCCTGAAATGGACAATAAGTAGGAAAACATCTTTTGGCCAATTTCAGACATTTTGAAAATTGAAAATATTTTTTAATGTAACATGAATTTCTAATAATATCATATAGTACGTGTATATTTATATTAAAATACATAATGAATGAATTGTGAAAGAGTTCATGGCGTTTTGCTAGCCATCTAATATAGTAAAAATGCATCAATGTCTTGTTTTAAATTTGTTATTTGTTTTGATTACCAGCTCTTTCTTTCGACGTCTTCCTTGTCTTTTTTTATCAATTTCTTTTACATGAAAATTCTTCTCGTTCAAATAATAAACAAAACAAAGTCTTCACCTCTTGCCTCTTGCACGAAACTAGTTCCAGTCACTTTCTGTTAATTTCAAGGTTTTCTTATGAATATTCTCTACATATTGACTTGAACATATACATATTTATATGTGTGTTGTATACATATTTCGTGTATTCAAATACTTGACTCATTATAAATTATTTGAAACGGTAATTACACAATTGTATTTATATAAGATTCTTATACAAGAAGATTCTTGCTAAATCTTATTCTTTAATTGCCAATGAGACCAGTGTACTAATTGTGTGTGATATAAGTTTTTCAATAATGATACAAGTTTTTTTTGTCAAAATCATTGCGCAGAATCTTATTCTATTTTTTCATTTTTGAATAGATAAAAATATAACCAAAAATAATTATTATAAAACTGCAGTAATTTAAGAAAAGCAAAAGCTCTAACAACGCACAAGCAGTAAAAAGCTCTATAAAAATTCATCGTCAAAATTTTAAATATTTACTTCTCATCCTGCGTCAGTTTCCTGACCTGGACAATATAATTTACTAGATGTAGCACTTGGACTTTGTGGTTTAAAAGTAAAATAATGCGAGAACTAGTATTAATTGTTTGTAAGAAACTTTGATCTTTGATCTTTCATACATTATATAATAGAGTATACTAACATTTCTTAGAAACATAGAAAAATACAATTATATTGAATCACATGAATAACGTCAGACAATTTTATTACTAAATTAATTGTATGCACTTGTACTTGCTTTTACATATAGCCCATGAATTATTTCTTAATAAGAATATACCAACAATATGATCGGATAGTCCATGCATCTTGTATTAAGGCAACATGCCACTAACACCTAGTTTATTTAATGTTTTTCTACACAAATAAGTTAAATTGTACTTTTTGTGTGCTATATTATATTATATTATATCTTTCTAGAAAGACGAATTATCAAAGTATATGCGTACGTGTTCTTGACCACGGATTTAAATCCCAAATAGATTTATCTTTTGTAATATTGACATTCTGATAATATATACATATATATTGTATTTATACGTATATATATATATTTTTATCGCACTATTTATTAAATAATATTAATGTTACAAACGTGTCTTTATTAAAACATTTTCCAAAAAAATATTACCACTCAAAATACATCATATATATACATATTCATTTAGGGTATTTATAAAAAGTATTAGAAGTTATGTATCGAATAAAATTTTGATTAGGCTATAAGAAACAGAAAATTTGACTACAAATTGTATATATATATATATATATATATATATATATATATTAAAAATTCGTACTTCAACAATAGTTTGACCCACTGGTCAAAAAGGTTGCCCACCTTATGTTCATGATTATATTAAACGGCTGTTTTTAGTGCTTGCCCTTGACAATGTGAAAGTTCTTATTTGTTTCTTATTGGAATCCACTGCATTCCAGGTTCTAATTCAGTAAAGCTTTGTAGTATTTGTTAAGTCAAAAATATATTCAAGATGAATAGTAAACAGAAAATAGTTGTTTTGATTCACTTATACTTTCACACGATATTGTACCTATTTTTTTCGGAAAATTTTACTTTCTAGTTGCTACTTTTTTTGCAAACGCTGGTAAAATAACTGTTAAAAAGAATAATATTGTCACGACATAGATACTTGTATTTTGAATTATTAATAATCACAATAATTTTATATTGATGATATACCATATAAATGTATAGATAGAATTATGTTTGAGAGTCTCTATTACTGCAAGTTATTTCAAACATCAATAATAAAGATTCTCAAAAATTTTTTTTTCTTACTAAGATTGTATATAAATATATATCTATGCACCTATATACCAACATTTGTTTAGTTAGCAAGTATTAAATGATAATGCTAGAGACATCAATATTTGCAGACCATACACACGTTTTCAATTATTGCTAGTATGAAACTAATATCTTTTACTGCAAATCAATGATCAATATTTTATGGTTTATAGAGAACTTAATCTAAACAAGAAATAGTAATCTAGTTAATAATACTAAACTATATTCACTCTATTATGATATATGTTCTTATATGTTTGACTTTATATTATATTTTAACACTGGTCACATGACAATGGACTTTTTTATTTATAAAATTGACTATAACATTCATGAGTTACTTACTTTTTATTGAAATTTTAGGCAAGAATATTATTTGCAATAAAAAATGATTTCAGAATGATAAACTTAATTATACTTCTGTAGCAGTTATCTGCATCTTATGCAAATTTCCGAATTTTATAGTTGGCCTTCCTTTTGCATAAAATTTGCATGCAAATAATTGGTAGTTTTTAATCCAATCTGCTGGATCCAATCATAAATGTAAAATCATTCTAGCCTTCTATATTTCAAACACAAAGTTGGCATTTGGAGGCACATACCTGGAGTATTTTTTGCAAATTTAAAATTTGCAAATTTTATAGTCGACCTTCCTTTTGCATGATATTTGTATGTAAATAACTGCCATTTTAGCAAATCCAATCTGCTGGATACTTAAGATTCCAATCATAAACTTAAAATCATTCTAGTTTCATATATTGCAAACATAAAGATAAAGTTGGCATTTAGAGGCACATACTTGGAGTATTTTTTGATAAAATAAATTTTGTTTTAATACCTAATTATAAAAACACTTTCTTTATTTCTAATAGTAAGTTCTGTATTTTTTTATCATGTTGCAGATTTTCAGTGGATTTATCCCAGATGCGTTCTCTTCGACTATTTTTCAGCGATGAGCAATGCACATGTGGCCAATTAGTGGTTGCATCTCGCGAATCTCAGTATAAAATCCTGCATTTTCACCACGCCGGTTTAGACCACCTGGCCCAAGTTTTACACCGCTGGCACTCTATCATGCACAACGTAAAAGCCGCTCCAGGTAAGATAAATAAATAGATAATAATTTTTATGTAGTTAGAAATTGATCTAATTGTAATATTTTTAACGTTTTGCTCGGTGTTAATTTTGTAATGATGTAACTTTTCTTAATTAAATAATCTTTACGCGATTGCAGTCATTAAGAGTATATTATATAGATTTTACGTAAAAGATAAATGTATTATCTTTTTGGAACAATGCGTTTAACAAAAAATATTTACCAAATTGTATATTGACGTCAGTTACACGATGCGGTATTATTTTAAATATAACAAATTTTTACTCGTTATCATTAAAACTTTATTGCTTTATTTATTCTGTGATGAAGATGAAAAAATTTAAAAATATCTAGTTACTTTGCAGTTATTAAATTCACTAGAAAAGTGCGCACATTTTCTGTTTAATAATTTTCGAGTGTTATTTTCGACCTAGACTTTGTTCATTTCATAAAAAACACGTTGTTTGAAAACAAATCGTTCAAGAGAATTAGCATCAACTTATAAATATTTAACATTTCAAGAGCTCTTATTGATTTATTTTGCATCGAATGCTATTTCGCACTTGCAATTAGTATTATTGCGCTGCAAATACAGTTTAAGATAAAAATAGAGGTCCCAGGTTTAATATTCTCCTCGGGCAGCATGATATCAAGCGGAGACATCAGTTTTTACTAGGAAATTTAGATAGCAATATGCTTCCAAGTGAAAATAGCCTTTGCTGCATCAATAAATAAAATAATCACTATTACAGACATTATAAGAATAAAATTCATCACATAGTCGTAGGACAACTGTTTGGGTTGCCAGTCAAGTCAGTTAAGTTACGTCACCAAAAAAGCTCATAAAGCTCTCAATATCTGATCTTTATTCAAATCATATATAGACTAAAAAGTTACTACTATCGCTACTATTTGATTTTCGAGTCAAATAAAGCATACAAATAATAATTCTGATACATACTACCATATAAAACACAATGGTGTGAGCATTATGTTGCAAAATTAACTATAACAAAATACTAACAAAAAGAGGAAATATAACAGATGCCTAAAATATGTTATTGGTTTCATATAATTGATTTAAATTATATATTCGCAAATTAGTTTCGAAATAATATGTTTTATCAATTATGTCAACGCTCGCGACCCATCAAGTAATTTGCGATAAAAAGTCTTGATGTCGTTATTCCTATGACAAATCAAATTTTGTTCGGAAAGTTTTAACTATTATTTACAAATATTTTTTGTTGTTATATATTTAGTAATACAACAATTTACATATGTACATATACATTTTCATATAAAATTCATGTTCACGATATCATTACTCATACAATTACACCTGCGGTAGTTTTAAAAGACGCATTATGCGTTTGAGTCACCTTCCTTTAATCAATGTTTTTTATTTACTTTGTAGAAGTTTTTGTTAAATATTTGCTGAAGTCCATTCTTGAAATTAAAAAAAAGTTATGGATAAACAAACATTTTTGATGATATAGAGTTATGGGAAAATGTGGGTGAATTAGTTTATGAATAATTTAAATGATTTATATTAAACACATAATAAATTCTTGATGTAATGCGTACTGCATTAATGCAATTGCATACATACTTTATTCAAACTCAATCTCTAAATATATAAAAATACATAGAACGAAGTAATTATGTTATTATTAGATAATATTTTGTCTTAAATTCAAACTGCATTAAAATTATCATTTAAAATTTAATAATAAATAGAAACAAGTATATTTTAATATATCACCAGTGCTATGAAATAATAATTATCTATTAGGTCTGTAAACATTTTTGATTCAGATAACACATGTTTATTTAAATTGTCGTTCAAAATAAAATCGAAGTGGTTTTATCAATCGTTTGACGTATATATTGCTTTATTATCGCATTTTTTGACAATATTTGATTATTTAAAAACTGAAAATAATCAAATCATATTTTTAAGTTGAGAACTAAAATCAGGTTTAGATATTTATTTTATTATTATAAATATTATGAATTATTAAATGTACCTTTTAAATTTAATAAACAACAAAACACTTGAAAATTATGCAAGTAATTATTAATCAGACGATAAACATATTCGTGTATTATTATTGCATTTTAATTTGAATTTTTTGTCCTCACATAATATTTTTAATATGTTTCATGGATATTACTTAATATGCCTTATATGGATTAATAGCACATAAAAAATTACATAAAAATTGCAGCAAATTTTACTTATTAAATGATCAACGTCCTTCATGAAGCCTTGAGAATGTTCATCGTTACATAACGGAATTTATAATACTGGTATACATGTTATGAGTAATTTAATGATTGTCAAATATTTACAAATTTATTGATTAATTAATAAAATAATGAAATTATAAATACTAGCTGTAAGTGGCATTTCACCATAAGGCAAGTTGGAAAAACTTTGCGATATGTGCGAATAGTCGATTAGATATAAATAAGAATTGAGATTAGCAACTCTTTAGATAGTGATCATAGAACTTTGAAATTTCGAAAAGGCCAATTATTCTAAATTTTGATAAATGTCTTTAATTAACGCACTTTTTGTGGGACTATATAGTATGACGTTCGTTAAGACTATGATTATTAGCCACATTATTACGTGACTTTCACCAAAATTGCACCAAAATCGTGCAAAATATTTTTTTTCAATAACTAATTAAGAAGAAAAGTCTGCATCAAACTTTATCGAATGCTTTTAAATTTTGCCGCATTACGAAAGGTCAAATTTTAGCTCATACACATACATATCCAATTTTGGCCTCAAACTTCAAAAGAGCATAAAATTAGTAAAACGGATTTTCTGGCGAAATCATAAGCTTCTTCTTCGGGGAGTTGAAAAATAGCAGAGTACCAATTCATAAATAGTATAAAAAAGTAATTATCATAATGCGGTTTCTTTAATACAATTCCTTGGGATTTACAGAAATAGATTAAATTTTGTTGTCATAGAAACGATATTTTTCTTATCTGCATTCGTTTTACGGAACATATGTACCACAAATAAATGTTATCTAATAAAATTCGACATGGTCATATAGAAATTATTGTGTACGATATCAGCGGCCAACGTTCTCTGCTCCATTATCAAGGTTTCATCTAAAAATAACTATCGAAATTGCTTTTCAAGAATCGATTGCCTGTATTCTAATAAATGATTGATTCGATTCCACCAAAGCTGCAATAAAAATGTATAGAAATGTTGAAGTTTTCATGGCATAAAACATCAACATTAACATTTCTAAATATTTCAATTACTGTAGAACTACAATAATATTTCACATATTTTTTATATTAATTTTTCAAAACAAAAGAATTTCTTACAAAATTATACGTCAAAAAATGATTTAATAATATAAAAAATTAAAAACAGTAATGATGAATGAAGATAACGAAAGAAGTTCTCAAGAACCAGCGCCGTCAAACAAATTACCCAAAGGTTCATATTTCTGTCTGTGTCAAATAGTTTTGTCTTCTTTCGGTTTGTTAGGAACAAGAGCAGTCATGCCATTATATTTGCGAAATAAGTTAGGCTATACTAATAACGAAGCTACTGCTGTCGTCCATGGTATGGACTTGATGAAATTCTTCACACCCATCGGGGCTATCATAGCTGACAGTTTTTGGAATCGATACTGGATTGTGGTTGTGACTCTAATATTAGCTACTATTGCTAGAATAATCCAATTCCTAGGTGCTATCCCCATGATAGCTCCCAAAATGGAAATTGCCAGAATATACACATATTGCTTCTACTTCTTTCTTGGTATTGCTATGGTTGGCCTAGAGTCTGCTGTTATGAGCTTCCGAGGTGATCAGTTTAAACTGCCTGAACAGAACGCTGCTTTCAAGAAGTATGTCCACCTCCAATATTATTTACACAATATGAGCATCACTTTTGGATATTTGCTGACTCCATTGCTAAAAAGCGAGATCCATTGTTTGGGTCAGCAAGATTGTTACAGTGCATCTTTTGCTTTATCGACAATTTTTTCTGCTCTTTCGGCCACTATATTTGCAACTGGGAAAAAGTATTACAGAATCAGAAAACCAACTGGCAATATGATCGTGCTGGTGTCGAAATGTATTTTTGAAGCTCTTCGTACGCGATATAAAAATCCTAACCCTCGTCAAGTGCAACATTGGCTGGACCATGCAGAACCAATTTATGGCAGCCAACTTGTTAGCGACATAAAGAGGCTGTTTAGTTTAATTAAATTATATACCACTATTCCCATATTCTTTTCACTTTATACTCAATACATGACAAAATGGTTATTTCAAGCATCTAGAATGAACGGTAGGGTAGGATCGTATACTATCGTTCCAGATCACTATCAATTGCTCAATCCAATTATTATACTAATCGTGATGCCTTTGACAATAAAGTTTATTGATCCACGTTTGAAAAAATGGCATATGGATCGCAGTCTGAGACGAATGACTCTTGGTGGTTTTCTCACAGCTTTAGCTTTCATTGTTGCAGCGGTTCTAGAAACGGAGTTAATGAAAAATGCTTCAAAACCCATAGAAGAAGGACTTGGTCAAATCAGGATATTTAACGGCTTGCCGTGTGATTGCTATATAGTAATGGACCAACTGGAAAGCTTGCCAATAATTACAGTAACATCCTTAGGATCATATACCAATAGATTAAAGGTCAAAGGCGTTAAAAAGTTTACAATGTCTAGTATAGGAACTTGTGGAAATTTTAGTCAATTTCCTGTATCCATCGTAGAAAAGAAATCTGTGAGTGTGGTGATATCGACACAAAAAAACGTTACGGTTATTGAAACTAACTTGGATAACGCAGATAAAACAGACGGGAGCGATCCTGACATCACAATGCATGGAATGTTGTCTTTGCACAGAATGAATCTTCAAGATTCGAAAGGCACTAATATCACTTTAAGAAGCAAAACTAGTTCTATGGCAGCAGAAACTTATAATTTATACGTCGAAGGAAGAAAAATCCACAGTTTTCAATTATTATTAGGCGGGTCTTATGTTTTAATCGTGCAAGAGAATAATACTTCAGTTTACGTAGTCGTTGATCCAAATTCTATACACATATTTTGGATTTTTCCTCAAACATTTATATTATGTGTTGGCGAAATATATTTTCTGCTTACATTGACAGAGTTCACTTACAGTCAAGCTCCAGATTCTATGAAAGCCCTCATATCATCATTGAGAATTATTTCTATGGCTATTGGGCATTTTATTGTGATTTTTTTCACTATGTTCCTTTCCATAGCAGAAAATTTGAAATACTTCATGTTTTCCGCGTTTATGATGGTAGATATTGTTGTTTTAATAATTTTTGGACGAAAATTTAAACCAGCAATGCCAGATGTAAAACTGATTTAAATGTTCAAATTGTAGTATGTCGACTTTTAAATATATATTTTTTATTAATAAACGTTCAACATTTGTAAAGTCAATCATTTTGTTGTAATTTAGAAATATATATGTAAGAAAATAAATGTCACCAAAATATATTCGATATTATTTTGAAATGCAAAAGCAGTATTGAAAACAAATTTTATGGATGATAGCAGACTTTGCTAGCTCACTTTGATTAACTAAATCGACGTTATGAAAAATCTATTATTGACAGTTGTAAAGTTTGAAAAAATATAATTTATTGAAATTATATACTAATATAATCTATTTAAGGAACGGATGAACGCGATTTACCATATCGGCATTTTATGGTATGTAGACCAGAGGTCAGTACATCGGAACTTCATCCTGAAGAAGGTTCAATACCCAAAATTACCGAAGATTACTTTTATGGAACTCTACTCAACGAAAAGTGAGTAATAAAATACCCGCTATCGTATCTATAAATTTGTGTGCATGAAATAATCAATAATATTATTCAATGAATCCTTAAATTATCATGAAGAATTTACTAAATGCTAATAATCAATCTAACAGCGTCCTTAATGAAATTGTCTTATGTTAATATTTTTTACACACCTGTCTCGGAATATTATTTACCCATGACGCAAATAATATAAATGCTAAGCCAATGATAATTTATTGGATATATATATATATATATATATATAAATATATATATGTGTGTGTGTATGTATACATATATACATAAATGCTTACTCATGAAAGTGCATTATTGTTTGCCTACTCTATGCCTGGTGTTTAATGAACATATTTGCAGGGACCGACATATCGAATAACATGAAAATTAATTATATAATTTATTTAAGAAAATAATTTATTTGCGCATTGCAATATTCATTATTCGATTCATACAAAGAAAAAAAACAATATAGACAATGAAAACTGATATAAAGCCCTACCAAGTGAAAATTTATCTGAATTTTGCATAATTTGAATATGAATACAACGATAATCTTTATTAAAAATAAATACAGTCCTAAAAAAATAAATATTAATGCTTAAATATGTAAAAAACAAAAATCGACATTTGCATTGAAATGTTTCACTTACAAACCAGTCCGACCTCGACACTATGTAAATTACTTAAAATTACATAAATGCAAAATTTATTCTATTCTAATTCCGACCAGCATGATACAGTTAAATAAATTATTAAACATAAATCTATTTTTCCAGAGGTCAAATAGAAGATGACTTAATATTGCGCAAAGGAGTATTCTTTGGGGGCCTCGAGAAAAGTTTAAGAAAAGTCGTATGGCCATTTTTGCTACATTGTTATTCCTACAGTTCGACTTACGAAGATAGAGAATTCCTAACGCAAATAAGGAAACAGGTATTTATATGTGGAACAATTTATATGCAAAGTTTTGAATAAATATTTGCGAAATCAGCCTCAAAATATATAAAAGATCATATGTAAAAACCCACTTATGCAAAGAACTTATGCAATAATCGCTTGATAATAACCTTCATCTTAAAATTATATATGAATATATATATATATATATATATATATATATTTATATATACATATATGTTTATATATATACATATATATCTGCATAATTTTAATTATACATATACTTTTACCGAAAGGTTTTTCTTTACGCCCTCACATTTTAATATTCAACAATCTGTCCCTTATTTAACACAACTCCAAAATACCAAATGACTTAACTAAATTAAACTAAGTAATTTCAACCTCTCATTTTTCACCAGGAATATGACGAGTTAACCAGGAGACGACTGCACGGTATGGGCGAAGAAGAGACCGAACGTTTTAAGAGAACCGTACAATGTGTGGTAGAACGAGATGTCGTAAGAACTGATCGAGGAAATCCTTTTTATGCAGGAGAAGGAAACCAAAATGTGGAAATTTTGAAGGAAATACTTCTGAACTATGCCGTATATAATCCAGGCCTAGGGTGAGATACTGAATTATAGCACATGTTTTGATTTTAAATTATAACCATGAAAGACAAATCGACGCCCAAATCGTCAAAAGCCAAAAAAGATCAAATAAATAGATATTTGAATGATTTGATTTTGAAAACAGAAAAAATCAACAAATTTGTTACTCAATCAACAGAAGCCATATATGTGATGAATTGAAGCCCAACTTATTCGAACGATTATAATTAGAATGAGTACATCGACCGCTGGAAAAAGATAATACAGTTTAATTTTATAAAATGCTTATGCATACTTGTATTATATAATTTACAAATTTCAAATCACAAAATGATAATTTTTAATCTTTGGTATATTTTTTATATCGCCAGGTACACGCAAGGTATGAGCGATCTGCTTGCACCAGTATTGTGCGAATTGCGTTGTCCAGCATTGGCCTTCTGGAGTTTTGCTGGTCTCATGCAAAGAGCTATATTTGTAGCCACGCCTACTGATAATGACATAGATAGGAACTTGGTACGGAAATTGACAAAAACAAATGTATAAATATATATATATATCTATATATATATATATATATATATATATATATATATATATATATATATATATATATATATCTATATCTATATCTATATCTATATCTATATATATATATATATATATATATATATATATGTATATATGTATATAATATTTATAGAATATTTAAACAATATCCAGTGATAGAAATGCTTTTTTGCATAAATTAACCATGCGATATCACTTTTACACGAACAACAGGTATGTATTCAGGTAAAGCACTGTTCGTTTCAAAGGTGACTTGCATTGTATACAAATTAGCATTATCTATGTATCATACATGCAGCATAATACGTGAATAAATACATAAGAGTCAAATAAGAAATAAACATTAAATTTACCTGGCGACCTCTGTTTGAGATTAAAATTGAGACTTCGAAATAAAATAAATATTTCAACCTAAAGCAAAATATGCAACCGTAATATATGTATATATAGGGTATGCCAAATAACTTTTTTTAGGGGGTACGACTTAAGCAACCCTACTGTGTACTCTGCACTCTTTACATTTCACTTTCAAATGAAAAAAGTGAAAATATTTAGTAGTTTTTTAATAGCATTTTCGAACAAAAAGAAAATTGGCAAAATATTCAGTAGATTTTTTAAGGAATTGTTCAAAAAAACGTACATCTAACTTTTACATCTTTCTGCTAATAATAAAAAATCGAGTTGGCCGACCGGCGCGCGAAATTTTTGACATAGTCTTAGCAGCTTCGTAAAAAACACACCCACATACCTTTTCCAATTTTGGTAACGTTTTAAAATATCTTTAAATGCGGAAAAATCATATAATTAGCAAATCGGATTTTCTGGTGAGAATCCGATTTGCATCTATTTCCGTAAGGTACTGATACATAACTAGATGTTTAAAATTATTTTCAATAACTAGCTATTACTTTTATAATATAATCCATAATCATAACTATAACTTTTTCAGAATTACTTACGAGAACTTATCAGACTGATGGTACCTCATTTTTACGCACATTTAGAAAAACACGCCGACGCCATGGAGCTTCTATTTTGCCATCGTTGGATACTCTTGTAAGTAAATAAAAAAATATATGAACGAATTAAGTACTACACTATTTTAGAAAAAATAAAAAGTATAATATAAATTAAATATATCAATTTCCAGATGTTTCAAAAGAGAATTCACCGAAGCAGTAGCTCTGCGAATGTGGGAAGCATGTTGGGCTAATTATCTCACAGATTATTTTCAACTATTTTTATGTTTAGCAATTATTGCCGTTTACGCTGATGACATCATAGCCCAAGATCTCAGGACCGATGAAATGTTGCTTCATTTCAGTTCATTGGGTGAGATGATAATTTTATATGTTATTTTAAAAACATCCGAAATGGTTACTAAATAACTAACAAAATGAAGGAACAAAATATACTGGACAACTGTTAATCTAAACAATTGACTTACATATTTCTGTTTTCCTTAGCCATGTACATGGACGGTAGTCTGATCTTGCGCAAAGCACGAGGTTTGTTATATGAGTTCCGTCTAAGAGCCCGCATTCCCTGCACGTTAGCAGGCCTGTGCAGGCGCTGCGGCTCAGGCATGTGGGATTCTGCCCACCACCCTGCCGTAGAATGCATAGGACACGATGGTGACGTCTGTCCTGCTGAATAGCTACGGTTCGAGACCATCTAGCTGTCTAGGGAATGATGGATGGATAGATTGGTCCCGGGATTAAGGTTACGGAAAAATCTGGATGTCACAAGGCGATTTCAATAATTTATTTAGTTAATTCATATGTAAGAAACCTCTGAGCTACCGTGGCTATATGTGATCACTTTAAATTTATTCCGAGAGTAATGTTAATAATTTTCATATATGGGTCATTCTTTTACAAACCGGGCATTAACCATACCTCGACATTTTAGAATTGGCTGAAATTTTTTTTATAGATATTATATATAAAATCATTTGACACGTATTTCAGGATTTTGCCGGCAAAAAATTTTTTTCCTTGATATTTACGATTGAAATATTGCCGATTTTCTCAATTTTTATGATCTTTCTTTGCATTATGTTAATTATCTTCAGTTGTGTTGATCAGATCAGTATTGTTTTTTGTTATTATATTCATTATGAACTCAACTTTGAAGTAATTTAAAAAAATAATGTTTTTGCAATTATTTTAACAATAATAACAATTGATTGTTAACATTGGTTTTATACACGGGCGCCCCAACTTAAATCGATTGCGTAAAAAACCATATTGTTTCTTTTTTTATCTACTTAAAAATTATTTTTACAATTCGATGGGATGGCTGTTACATCGGAAGATATTAAATGTTTTCGAGGGAAAGTCGCGCCGCGCGTCCGTTTGAAAGGCGCATAGCGCGTATTAAATGAGTACAAGTACTATTTTTAACTAAAATATTTTACAATTTCGTTACTGAGGAAAAATAAAAATATTATCTAAAATATGTAGTAGCAAATATTTTATACAAAATGCTCATATTTTTGAAACTGGTAAACTAAAACTTATTATTCGTTGGATTAATAACAAAAGTTAAATTAATTGTATTGGGTAGGTTTGATTTCGTTAAAAAATAAATACAAGAGAATGCGATTGAAAAATAATTAATTTATTGCATTATAATAGGCTAGCTCTGGCAGCTAGCTTTTTCAAAGTTCCACCCAATCCATCGCAAGCGTTCTTACCGTGTGACGTTGAGAAAAAGTGCCACTCTGCAACCAGACCAAAATCTTTTTCAAGTAATGGCAAGTGGCAAGTAATATTTACAAAATTCTTTTTATTTTTATACTATATCATTAATTGCAACATAGTTTTATCAACATTAGTCCACTCTCTGTACCTAATTTTGTCAATATAATTTTACTTGTACTCATTTAATACGCGCTATGCGCCTTTCAAACGCGACTTTCCCTCGAAAACATTTAATATCTTCCGATGTAACAGCCATCCCATCGAATTGTAAAAATAATTTTTAAGTAGATAAAAAAAGAAACAATATGGTTTTTTACGCAATCGATTTAAGTTGGGGCGCCCGTATGTAAAACCAATGTTAACAATCAATTGTTATTATTGTTAAAATAATTGCAAAAACATTATTTTTTTTAAATTACTTCAAAGCTGAGTTCATAATGAATACAATAACAAAAAACAATACTGATCTGATGAACACAACTGAAGATAATTAACATAATGCAAAGGAAGATCATAAAAATTGAGAATATCGGCAATATTTCAATCGTAAATATCAACGAAAAAAAATTTTTGCCGGCAAAATCCTGAAATACGTGTCAAATGATTTTATCTATAATATCTATAAAAGAAATTTCAGCCAATTCTAAAATGTCACATATTTTTTTTACCAAAATCCGCCCGATTTGTAAAAGAATGACCCATATAAAGCTATTGCCAAAAATATCCTAGCAATCATTATTAATTAAATTTTACATATTAGAATTTATTGCAAATTTATTTTTGTTCCAGTTATGAATGGATGGTTTTTCTCGATAGCTATATAATTAATTATAATTTTTCAACGTCTGTACTAAAAGGCTCTTATTTCTTCATTTTTTCCATTTGCTTTTTTGAACTAATTTATTCGACTTTCAATTTTATAGTAATTAAATAAGTGTATCAATGTTTATTATTTTTTGTTTTTTTATTATTAGTTCATGAAGAAGAAAACATTCCAAATTCCCAAACAGTCGAATAAATTAATTTTTTTTAAATAAATAAAATTGTTTTGAAGAAAAAGTAGGCTGATTTTCAGAAGTTAAAAATTTATACATGTATATGACTTACCTTTCAACAAATTAAGTCATCTTTATTCGAAAAATCGCCCTGACTTGCGCCAAGAATAATAATTGCAATGAAAAGAAATGAGTCCAGTATTACCTCTGATGTTGTGAAGCCTATGTCGTTAAAAACTGAATTAAATTATAAATAGCCTAAAAATTAAAGTTGAAAAAAAAATTAAAGAGTGATATGTAAAAAATATATGTCGATCGCGTTGGTTACTGTCTTAACAGAATTTCTTTAACGCATTCTCATCGTATTTGGACATTAAAAAAATATACTTTTGAGTAAAGTTTGTATAAAACCGCTTTGAATAATTTAAATTTTTACTTTTAATAGATCTAAACTGCATTATCCGACGATACGTGTATAATAAAATGCCTTATGTATTATTTTTTGCCTACGTAGAACAACTTATACCGTATTTTCATATTGCATGAGTGTATATAAACGACTATTCTAAATTATTTAACAAAAAACAATTCTGCAAACTTTAGACAAATATATGAATAAGTAACAAATTATTAAATGGTATACAATTTATAAAACAAAACTTTTTTCATAAAAATATTATAAACCTAAAAAGCTTTCTAGTCCACATCTTACAAACTCAACTATAAAAAAGATTAAACTCACAATCGTATAATATCATATTTATGAATATTAATGTAATATGAAAATCGATGTTTTGAACAAAGCTATTAAATGTGAGCGATATAATTAATTATCAATAAATAACGTACCAAAACTACAATATTCAATTGCAATCTGCAAACAAATCGGCATCAATTTTAATTTTTTTAATATAATATAAAAGATAGATAGAATAATTGATACATTTTACAAAAATGCAAATTTATGATTTTTTGCGGAATACTTATGTTAATTAACGAAATAAATTGCTTCTATAACAATTTTACTATATTCACTCTGATATTAATAACTGTGATGAGATTTTTGGCTTTATGTCCGGAAACCATAAATATGGTAAATCTAAATTTATTGCTTTAATTAATTTCAAAATATAAATTTTTATTATATTGAAGAAAATGTGACCCAAGAAATGCTTTTTAAGATCTGTATACCTATCATTTTACTCACATTCTCGTAAGTATACTTATGTGAACTTGAATCAATTTATTTATAAATACGTACATAGCAGGTTTGCATTATTATGTTATTAAAAATTGAAACAACGATATATTGAAAACCAATACTCGCTTATATTATGTTGCATGATTTTTTTCTTGGGGACCAAATTTTACTTTTGCTATTTCACGCATTGTGATCTAGTAGAACACAATAGTAAGCATTAGCTCATGAAAATTAGATAATAACAAAGTGTGTACTGACACATTGTACAATGGTTTGTAAAAAGAAAATATGTAATTATATATGTAAAATGTTATGTTTTGAAAAATATATATACTAAAATTCAATCAAACAAATCATTTTCATAGAATTATATTAATTATAAATTCATATTTATACATTATATTTCAGTTCCTATGGGAAGCTCTTTTCATTGATATGAGAATCTTACAAAAAATAATTATTTGTGAAGTATATTATATATTACACACTATCCTAAAGTATCAGAAAATATAGTACGAGTTTTCATGAACATTTTGTTGGTCAACACAATATACAATACTTTGCATTAAGAAAATGATAACTAGACAAGCTGTAAGTCTTAAGATGTTAAAAATTCAGAAAGATATATATACTATTGAAATAATGTCATAAACCTTATATATTACAAATTGTTCACAAATATTTTTCTGAACCAAAGATTTATGGCTATAATGATTACGTAAACATCAATTATTGAATACTGATGCTCCCAAGATCAAGTATAAAACTATTAATATATCTTCTCATATAGTCACTGGTTCAAATTCACCATGAGATCATTTTTTGAATATGCTTAGTTGAGTTTTATTGTACGATCTTGACTAAATATTATATCCCATTATTTTATCACAGTTATACATTAAAATAAAATTGACATCTGATTTCTCAAAACAAAACATTTCAATTTGCTTTAGATGGTGCAAACAAATTGACTGAAACAAGTACCACACACGCAATGGACCATAAAAGTATAAAAATAAGCCATAAATTACTTTTGAATGGACTTTTGAATTGATTTTCATGTCTAAGAGCCGGAATAGTATTACACTGCCTTCTAGCAGAATAAACTAAACCTATGGGTACCAAATACTGAACACCAGTTCCTGCATAGCTTCCTGTGAAACCTACTAAACCTGATAAGCTTCTAGCACCTATTGCTACCAAAAACGGTGGTACAATTGCCAATAAAGGAAAACACATTTTGCGTACAAAAAAATTATAAGACTCGATTCTAGAGTTGTCCAAAAACAAAGTTTGCAAATTATTTCTCAAGGTTATAGCAATTATTGGAAAACTTGCAGATAATGTAAAAACAGGAAATAAAGCTAAAAAATAATGTGCCAGAGTCATCATAACAGAGTCTGGACTAGGTAAGAAATTTAATGTATATAAGTCTTCAAGATTTGCAAATGCAAATGTTCCAGTTACAGCTAGTACGATATAAAAAACACATATTAAAAAATAGTCACAACTAAGAAGCTTTTTAAGAGAAGACTTATTTCTAATAGGAGCCACAAGACTCGGTATAGAATGATGACACATAAAAGAATATACACATGCTCCAAACAAACCTGGCACACCTGAAACTTGTGCTACAGATGGTTGAGATTGAGGTCCTTGAGTTGCTAATCTCCAAGAAGCTATCCCAATCATAATACTGAATGCTAAAAAAAAATAATTGCAAATCAACCAAAAAACAAAGAACTAATAAATAATAATAGGAATATCTAGAGTATCAATCTGGAGTGTTAACAAAAAATCGTTCAAATTATAATATTTCTAATATAAATTGTATCTATGAATATGTAATAATTTTTACTTACCTAGCCACCTTAAAAATGAGGTGATCATTTGCAAATATTTTGTTTTTTGTACATTAAAAAATGCAAAAGGTCCCATTAAACAAAAGAATGCTGATAAGCACAAATTATAAACTGTAATTCTTGATATACTATTCTCTTCACTAGGGAAGCAAGGCAGGATGGTATTATTTGTATTATTTGCAGGTATGTAACTAAAAATAATGATTTATAAAAGATGCACGAAAATATTATATATCATATAAGCAAGTTTACCAAGTAATATCTACAAGACTTTCAGAAACAGCAGCACAGTATATACTTAAATCCCCATATAAATATATACACAAACACAAATAAAAAACTGATCTTCCTGCAGTATTAAAAAACATTGAGGCCATTTCACCAAGTTCTACCTAAAAGAAATAATAATAAATAACTAAACAATGTAAAACCTTTAACATTAAATGTATACTATTGCCATTAAACAATGTTTACTACTACAATATTTATAAATTACCTGGTGGTCAATTTCATAAAATCTTGGCATTCGGGACATTAACGGATGCCTTTCCAAATTGTCTATTTCAAATGAATCTTCACTTATTTCATCGGCACAGTCTTCATCTGTAATACACTGCAAAGGATAATAACAGTACGTTGATCAAATAATATTTAATACAGTAAGGAGTAAAGATAAAGATAATAATAATATATCTACCTTTTCTCTTTTCAGAAGACCCAGCCTTTTCCAATGCATGAGTGCATTTGCACATGACATAGTCTCGATAACAAATGTTACAGTAACAAAACTTATAAAGGCTAGAACGATGATTGCAGCAAGCCCTAAACCCCAGCCAGCTCTTGCAAAAACCGCTGGCAGGGTTAGGGCTCCTGTGCCCACAATTAGGTTAAATACATAAACTAAACCCATCTGGAAGAAAGTGATAAAGTTAATATAGTAAAACTATAAATAACTAAGCCTATCAAACATATAAATATATATATATATATATATATATATATAATATATGTGTGTGTATGTGTTGTAGAGTTATATACAAAGATCATTGCACAAAAAATTCTATAAAGCAATAATGATATTATGAACTTAACATTAATTAAAGCTACAATGTTTTTCACGTTTTATAAATATCTTGTTTTATAAAATCTAATTGACAAACGATCAACCTTTCCAAATTGTCTATTTCAAATGAATCTTCACTTATTTCATCGGCACAGTCTTCATCTGTAATACACTGCAAAGGATAATAACAGTACGTTGATCAAATAATATTTAATACAGTAAGGAGTAAGATAAAGATAATAATAATATATCTACCTTTTCTCTTTTCAGAAGACCCAGCCTTTTCCATGCATGAGTGCATTTGCACATGACATAGTCTCGATAACAAATGTTACAGTAACAAAACTTATAAAGGCTAGAACGATGATTGCAGCAGCAAGCCCTAAACCCCAGCCAGCTCTTGCAAAAACCGCTGGCAGGGTTAGGGCTCCTGTGCCCACAATTAGGTTAAATACATAAACTAAACCCATCTGGAAGAAAGTGATAAAGTTAATATAGTAAAACTATAAATAACTAAGCCTATCAAACATTAATATATATATATATATATATATATATATATATATATATGTGTGTGTGTGTGTGTTGGGTAAGAGTTATATACAAATTATCATTGCACAAAAAAATTCTATAAAGCAATCAATGATATTTTATGAACTTAACATTAATTAAAAGCTACAAATGTATGTTTCACGTTTATATATGCAATAGATCTTTTATGTTTTATAGATACAATACCTAATTTGAACAAAACGAATCAACCGAAATATTAATAAACTGAATGTAAATATTGTATATACCCATGAGGAATACTGGTTCCTTGCAATAGTTGGATTTTGTGCTGGCATGTTGGAACCACATGTAGAATAAAGGTATCGATAATCGATACCAGGATATATTTATTATTCGATCACTATTTTATTTTATATATTTTATTTTATTAATAATGTATCAATTCGTTGTTAGCCATATGTCAATTCATGAATGACTAATATTGTTTCGTACGTCAGATTCAGATAGACGTGAACATAACCCCAACTTGTCATTGGTAAACAAACTAACCAGGGCTGGCGGCAGTTATGAAATTTGAATATATTTGAATCAAAACTTTACTTACAGAAATATAGTTATCAAATATGCGAAATTGATTTAAAATTACAACTATATCGACTAAATTTTTAGATATCTGATAACTATAATATATGATTATGATATTGAATGAAAATAATTCAAATTTTTTAAAAACTTTAGAATCATAAACCACATGATTAATATCAATTAATGTATCATATTAAATATGAAACTGTTCATGAATAATAAATTATAAATAAAATAAACTTTTGTCCATTTATATTTATAGTTTATTTATAATTATTATTTTAGAAATTAATTTAATAAACAAAACTATAAAAACTTGTTCTTCGTTTGATTCAAATTTATTTGTAAATATTTTTAAAATAGTTAAAAGTTTTTTATTACTGAAGCCTAAAATTTAGAAATGGTGTAAATAAAACATACTTGCTTTAAAAAATCTTTATTATATACTAATATATTTTTCATTTTATGTACATATATTAATATATACATATTATTCATTTGCTTATTTGAACAAAAAACAAACATAAACTAATAAAAGCACACAAAACATGCTTGAAATATATAATATATATTTGATATAACATAATAATAATAAAAAATTGAATAAATAAGTACTAAATTTATCACATCATTAGATTTTTCATATTTCCTAAAATTTGTGATAAAATTTCAATTTTATTCACAGATTTAGATTTATTTTGCAATACATAAATCTCAATAAAATAGAAAGGAAACAAACGATCATAAACTTGTAAATATTTATAACTGGGAATAAAACTTATTCTAAACTATATACTAAGATATAAAATAATCATGATATATTAAAAAAAATTGCATATATATTTAAATAGACGATCAACATCTTAATGTACATTTACATTCATAATTATCGTAAAACATAATAAAAAATTGAATAAATAAGTACTAAATTTATCACATCATTAGATAGATTTTCATATTTCCTAAAATTTGTGATAAAATTTCAATTTTATTCACAGATTTAGATTTATTTTGCAATACATAAATCTCAATAAAATAGAAAGGAAACAAACGATCATAAACTTGTAAATATTTATAACTGGGAATAAAACTTATTCTAAACTATATACTAAGATATAAAATAATCATGATATATTAAAAAAAATTGCATATATATTTAAATAGACGATCAACATCTTAATGTACATTTACATTCATAATTATCATAATAAATTTTTGATGTAGTATGATATATTTAAATATTTAATTTGAGATTTCAATTGACTGCAATAAAATTGTTTCATTTAAAATAATTAGAAACATGGTAACTTTCGCAAATGACGGCATGGCTAGGCTCATATAACAAAATACATATGCTACATCTTTATGGTAATCTTTAAAATGTAGAAAAACATATAAAATTAAATGGTAAATATACATCTATAATATTCTGGTTATTCTAAACATAATATATCACAAATTATATAGTATAAATTGGAAGACAGTCAGTAAAAAATATTTTCTACAAATTATAAAAAATAAATATCTAAATTATCTATATGATTGATAGAAATTGTTTGCAAATCGTTATATTCTGATACAAAAAACTGGGTGAGATTCTTTTCGAATGGTGATCAAGGTATTGAAAAAGCATCTAGTAATTAGTAAATTAGATTTACTGCTAATGACTTTACTGAAAATTTATAGATTTTTAGAAAAGTCTATAAAACAAGAATGCGACTCGAATGCAAAACATTTCTTTACTTGAATTGACCACCATTCGTAATTTTTTTTTATGATTTCGATAACAAATCTATCGAACACGCTCATTATCCAATTAACCGGTAAGAAATGTCGAATTATGTAAAAGCTTTTACATATTTGTACGACGTTTTATTACACTAATTGCTCAATATTGATAGAATGTGTTTATATTGAAAAAAAAAAAACAATAGTTAAATTGACGTCGAAGATTGTGCAACGAACCGATTAGATAATAATTTGCAAACAAATTTCGAATGTCGTAGAAATAAAACAATATTTCGCAATTGTTACATATAGCACGTATTACAGTCAACGATGATTACTACTATTTGCGAATATTATTTTATAATTCTTAAATGCAAAGAACCTGATGTCACTGATATTTTAATAAAACAAATGTTTTAAAATCTACTTCAAGGAAAATTCAGCGTGATAAAATTTAAAACACGTTCAAAATGTTATGTTTTGAAAGTAAGGTTAAAGTAATACAATCAGCCTTTATAAAATTTAATAAATATTTGCGTGATTAATATCATTCTTTTTTAAATAAAAAGAATAAGGATTTCAAAGACTGACTAATAACATAAAATTCATTGACCTGGGCTAGGTTATCACAAATTAGTATGGAATGTAATAGATACAAAATGCATGAACAACATAATTTAGAGATCTTTTCAATATACATTAAACATTATCTGTTCATGGTTCTAATGAAGAGAGACTAAGATAAAATTCCTGGCCTTAAGGTCTTCCTCATTTTCTTAGTAATAAAATAAATAGGATGCTCAAAATGATGATAAAAATCGCGAATTTGATTTGAAAGGGAACGTTATCCTTCCATTATTTTATTACTTAGAATATGATACTCTGAAGATTTTGAAAATTTGGTCAGAAATACAAATATTAATTGACAAATGTTTTTGTTTCTGAATTCATATAAATTTGAGCTTTGATTGCAAAGCATATGAATATTGCTCAACGCAAACCTTGCAAAATGCACGAATATAAAGTAAAATTTAATGTATAATTTGTTATATTATTTTTTGTACTTTTGGTCATTTGGTCCAATAATTTCAGGCTAAAATTTCAAATAAATGCTCTGCAACCGCCCGATTAAAACCATTTTTGCCTGTTATGAAAATCAATAATTAAAACAGTGCAAAGCTTAACAAAAACATGTTTAAAAAAGAAATTATTTTAGTAAATCTATCAATAATGGTATTTTTTTACAGAAATTCGTAGAGCACAGCACTGTTGCAATTATTTTGCTTCAAAGACAAAAATTTCACGATAAAATGGTTTGAAACAATTTTTTAAAACAAGGCAAGCATAAATATATGAATAATTACTATAAAATGTGCTAAGTCTGTAGTGGTTAAACCTCCAAATTTTGATGACATGGTGAATTATTGTTGTCTTCTGCTGGAAACATGACGTCTGGCAAGGAATCTGGCGTTTCAGGTAATAGCCTGTTTACTTCTACTGGCTCTTCATCAGCGTCCAGGAATCTATAATTGAATTAAAATTATATATTATTCATTACTTATAAAAATCAACTTAATGGATGGCGAAAAAACGCCGTTTCTTCCTTTACAACATTATCTTTACTAACAACTTTACATTATAGAACTTTGGCTGAAATTGATATTGGACAATGGAACTACAAAAGTTTTTTTTTGCAAAACGAATTTTTATACAAATAAGTATATAGAATTATATATATTGAACTAACATTACATGTATACGATTAGAAGTATTAAATTTTTTTTATTGCAATAACGGAAAGTCGCGTGAAAAATTATAAATTTCAGGTAATACTTTGGTAGATATCTTAAACTGCTTGATGAATAATTATTTACTTTAAGTTATAAAATAGATTTTCAATCACTAGTGTAAATTGATTTAGAATTACGTAAATACTCTCGGCGCAACAGGTTTATTAATAAAATATCTCCTTAAGGAATTCAAAGAATTTAATAATTATTTCTATGTCTATATTTGAAGTCGACGTCTTATTGCTTTTTAATAAAAAATATTTATTTATTTTATTTATTGTGTTGTGATAGATGCTGATTGAATAAGAAATTTATTATTATATTTCATCTCGCTTATTGCAACCGTAAGAAGGGGGCGTCCATTAATCACGTGAGCGGGTTTTTAAGGATTTTTGGACCCTCCCTCCCCCTTAGTGACACATGGTGATATTCAAAATTAACCCCCCCCCCCTTCCCCATCAAACATCACGTGCATTTTCAGTTACGTGATAAAATTGTAATTTTTTTTTATTTTTTTTTTAAATGTTTGAATTTTTTCTAAAAAATCAGTTGAAAAATAAATACACGTGATATCTTACTATACCCCTCCTTCTCCCACGTGATATTTTGTGATTTTTTGTAAACCACCCCCTCCCCTTAAAAACCTCACGTGATTAATGAACGTCCCCTAACGTATTTTGTCAGTGGTGCGGCGTCATCAGAATCGAAAGGGTTAAATACCTTTTAAAATATTATATATGAAATTTTTAAAAAAATATTATTTTGTAGTTTTAAGGGGGCCTTCCTATGTGATGAGTTGAAAAAATCGATTTTTTTTTTCATAAATTGCTCCCTTCACATGTCTAGAATACGGTAGTAAAGCGATTTTAGAAAACTCGAAGTCGTTTTAAAGATACAGCAGGTAAAAGAAAGAGCGGTTCGTAGTAGTTTTTAACAGACTTGAAACTTTAAACGCGTTTTTCTCAAAACTTCTTTCCTCCATTGTATCTCAGAAACGGCTAGACCGAATTACTTGAAATTTACAGGGCACACTCAATATATTTAAACGCATGGAATGAACTATTATCAATCGATTCGATTTTTTTATAGCAAAAAACAAGAAAAAAAACGCCTAATTTGCAACTTTTATTTCAAATGTCTATCAAAAATCCAATTTTTTTTATATTCATTTGATTATTGTGTCATTCCGTGCTTTTAAGCCTACAAATTAAAATGCCGTTTATTTTTTTTTTCAGATATGCTGATCAGCCGAAATCGTGGAGGAAGTGGGAGCTCTTTTTTCGAGGCGGGGGTGTTCAGAGCGCTGTAACTCTAGTTTGACTGAATATTTTTAGCTAAAATTTTATATTTATGCTGTCCAAATATGTGTTAATAAATGATAAAAAACTTGAAGCTCTAAATATTTACTGGTCGTAGATAAAAAATCCTAAAATATCCCTAAAAACAGGCCGTCACATAGGAAGTAAAGTATTACACACTTTCACATCAATATTTCATTAACTATGTTATTATTAAAAAAATGCTATAAGCGTCACGATTTTGTAATGCCACCTTATGATTATTAACAAATTAAGTAAATTATCACATTCTTCAGGCATTTAAATTTTACATGCAAATTCCAATTACCTCAAAAGCATCATTCAACGAATGCATTCTCATTCTTTCGCGTTCGTTGCTTTCTAGCCGCCGCAGATTTCGTTCCCGCGCCGAAATTCCCGTCCGCCTACGGCGCGCGTTCGCCGGCGGCGCAGTCCCGCTGCTCCCAGTGGTCGCCGCGCTGCTGTATCCCGCTGCGGCCGCCGTCCCGTTGCCGTTGGCTTTGCCCGCACCGATACCGACGTTTGCGACTCCTTTGCGTTTCGCTCGCGGCTGCTGGTAATCCCGATCATCCTCGATCATAGCGCGGTTTTCTTCACTGGCCGAACTGTCGCTGTCTGAAAGATAATGTAATGTCCTCTGAGTTAGGGAAATAAAAGCTTCAAAATGTATGATAAATCATATTTTATTCTTCTGAACGGATTAATTATGAATATGAATATGGAAAAGCGCGTTTTGTATAACGCTTGCTCCTGGAATGAGAAATGCACGGTGGGAGTAACCTTTTTTTTAAAAAAATGTATCCTAAGTTAGGAAAATAACTAGTGGGGCGCATGGCATCGTGCCTTAAGGCAAATTGCTGAAACTTCCCGTACAAAAAAAAAATAAAATAAAAAGATTAACATTTTTGAAAAAAAATTACTCTGAAAAAATTATATTTTTGAGAAACTATAAATTCTTGACAAAAATTTACTTTTTTTGAAAAAAAAAGACTTTTTGAAGAAAAATTTATTTTGAAATATTTTGGAAATTCTGAACTTTCTTTTCAAAGTAATCGTACTGCTTTAACTGCATAGAGATGAAATATCGAAGCGCGTAAGCGCCGCGTCGCCGTCTAAAACGGATAAACATTGGTACTGAACCTATAAAATATCTGATAATTTGATGTGCATATGTCTAATGATCATTTTTGACCACCAAATGGCTTTTTTTTTACTTTTTTACTAGATCTCCGAAACCGCTAGACCTGCCTTTATGAAAATTTGATCAGTTCTTTATCTCGTTAACAAGTAAAATGTTTTTTGAATTATTCAAATCGGACGCTCCGTTCTCTTAAAAACCGTGTTACCGTTTTTGGCACTTTTTACCCCGTATCTTTGGAACGGCTAGACCTGCCTCCGCCAAAAACTAATCAGCACGTCTCCTTATCAATACGAATCGAATGTTTTTTATTCAAATTGCTTCATCCGTGTTCCCGAAATCGTCGACAAAACACACACGCACACACATACATCCATTTTTTTCTAAGGTATGTCAAAATGTTCAGAAGGCTTTGAAACGTAAAGATATATAAAAATATATAAAATATATAACGAACACTTTGAAAATCAATAGCAATTATCTTACTAAATTTTATAAATAATATAAGTTTTATAGAACAAACTTCTTAAGCTATGATTAACAATTGAAAAGTTAAAACTTAATAAAAAGTTACACATAAGACTTTTATCTCTTTTATATTTTGAAAACTGTTAACAGACTATAACAAATCAAAAAATTTCTAGAAATGTATATATGTATATTTATATAGCAATATTATCGATAAAATAGAATTGTTTTATTCATTCGCTTCAACATCTACATGTATAACTTAATAACTGGTCCATAAATAGATTTGAACTTCTGAACATGTAATGAGTGAGTTTCAGAAATACTAAATATTAATTACTAAAAACTTTAGTAATTAAGAAAAATCCCAGATAAATTCATTGATAAAGAAAATTCAAAACAAAAAACCCAAATCACTAATTATTGATTAAACACTTCTGTACTCGTGATCAATAAGATTATTGCTATACTGAATCATCGCACAGGAAAATCACTACTGGTTTTAAAATCCCCTAATAGAATAATAGCGGTGGTAAAATCGTATCTATAATCTTCTCTTAGTAAATTTAAAATTTATTTACTGTTTTCCTGTTTAGTAATTTTAAAATGTATTTAATAATTTCTTCTTGAATAAATTTGAGTTATTAGAAATATTTGCCATAAAAAAAAAATATAATTTGACAAATTTCGGTAAGAATAAAATTATAGAAATAAATATGAACTATTGGGATGTATGGCATCGTGCCTTAAGGCAAATTGCTGTAACTTCCCGTTCCGTAACAAAATGTTCGAGGAATACTGAATGTTTTCAAATAGATAATTATTAATATTGTAACAATGTCTAATATTTATAAGAATTATATAAACTGAATTGCAAAGTTGAAATTATTTGTTTAAAGTATATTAGAACTATAGTCAGAATAAAAATATAATCTGAATTATTTTCGATATACAAAAAAATTTTTTTTTTAAAAAAAAAGTTGAAACAATTTTTTTTCCAGAATCAATTATTTAGTTAAGACAAGCAGAAAGTTCTTTGAATCATTTAAATCGGACGCTTAGTTCTCTCAAAAACTGCCATTTTTTACATATTTAGCTCCGTATCTTCGAAATGGCTGGGCCTGCCTTTGCCAAAAACTAATAAACACTTCTCCCAATCATTACTAATTGAATGTTTTTAGATCATTCAAATCGGATACTCCGTTCTCTCAAAAACTCGATTTCTATTTTCTGCACTCTTTGCTCCGTATTTCCGAAACGGCTGGACCTGCCTTTGCCAAAAACTAATCAGCTCTTCTCCCTATCAATAGGAATCGAATGTTTTTTGAACCATTCAAATCGGTTGATCCGTGCGCCCGAAAACGTGACTGGAAATTTGTATCCATATCCACACACACACACACACATCTATTTCTTCTGAGGTTTGCCAAAATGTTCAGAAACCTTCAAAATGTCGAGAAATGTAAAAATTTTCAATTTCGATTTTGGGCGCATTACAATAACCCACTCTACGGGAAGTAATAATAATAATGATCTCTTTTAATAAACAAGATGTTTGCTTTTAACATACCTTGTGGATGTTTTCCCAATCCGCGTTTTCCAAGGCCATTTCTATATCTCGGTTCTTCCATGGGCTCTTCGTCCTCCATTTCTACGTCTTGCCACCTGGGCCCTCTTCCACCTTCACCGCCTTCGCTGCCGCTGAGCGGGCTGCTACCGCCACTGGGTCTCATTTCTGATCGCATATCAAATTCGAAACAGAAAGAAAAGAAGAAATGCTTCCAATTTTTTTAGAGAATTTGTAGATAATTGTTCCACGTTCGAACACGTACGGAAACGCGTCCGAACAACAATTAGCTACAAAACCGATCCAGCTGGAAAAGCTTTAGATCAACTTCTAGAAATTGAATTTCTGGATTGTGATGTGATGGTCCGAGTTGAATGTTCGTGAGACGACAAGACAGAAGTGTTTACTTTGTTTGCTTCTGTAAGAAAATAGAAAAGTACCATTGTCATTAGTTATTTGCATCGTATTTAGCGTTTTTGGTTGATTATCGGTCTGAATAATATAGCATTCTACTTCGCATTCAGAAAGCATGACTGATAGAAAAATATTATATATATATATATATATATATATATATATATATATATAATATCAAATAATATAGTTCAGTGCATGCTTTTACATTTTTGCATGCAAGGAAATAATACTTGGTGACTTTAATTTAATTAATATAGTATGTATACATGTATAATACAATATTTTCATATTTTGTAGTAGAATTTAAAATAGACATTAAAAAAAGTGTATCACCTTATATTATTCATAAATTTCGTTCTAAGAACGTCAAAAAAAAGTAAATGTAAAACGGCCGCCTTGCACAATTAAAACTATTTTTTTTTATTCAACAATATATTTACAACTGTCCTCAATTATAACTATTATTATAACTATTATAACGTTTTCAACAGAATGTCCTGTATGATTATAGTTTTATAATAGTATTTCTATTAATTTAAACGAGATTATTAAATGTTAGAAAACAGATAGTTCAGTCAGTAGCATGCCCGACATGACAGGGATGCTCGGTTCGAGTCCTGCCACTGATAAAATTGGAAGTTAGAAGAAGTAGCAAAGTTAGAGAAAAAGAGGAACAATAGTTATAGAATATAAAAAGAAATGTTGTAGGTATGTAGGTAGGTATAAAAAAATAAATGTTACAAAATAACATATAAATTCGCCAGCGGCCTTTTACATAAGTTTCACATATATTAGTAAATAATAGTTTTTGTTTTGTTAGAAATTTCACACATAACCATTCAATTCAATCGATTTTCTTTGTCAATTTACTATGCATGAAATTTTATTTTCCCGCCATGCTTAAATTCGAAACACCTCTCATAATGTCGATAGCCTTTTGTTACCACATTATAAAATAATATAGCTGGTATTTGAAAATGCACACCATGTTTGTAGTAACAGTCAATAGGAATTTTATGAAATGTCAATGTACGTTTTATAACATTATTATATAATTTAAACTTGCGACGAGCATCGACTTGCAATTTATTTGCATTGTAAATGTTCTGAAGTTAATTAAAATCGTTCTATATCTAATGCTTTATATTGGTATATTATTTTGAAATTTATGTATAAAACCAAACTTTATTATTGTCCAGACGACATTAACCTATTAATTAAGTATGCCAATTAATCACATGGATACTTAATCACTGCTCTTAATTAAGGAACATAAATCATGAATATTAATCATGCTCGAACATGGACGCACTAGGCATTAAACTGGAAAAAAATCTATATTCATCAATTACGCAAATAAATAGATATTGAGCAACTATATGCAAATGATTATGTTGTATATCAGCTTTTGGACTACTATAAAAATAATACTCATTGGCAGATATAGCATTTCAAATGTAGCAAGTTTTACTTTAATCTCGTTGCAAACTTTCTATTAAACCGCGCTATGGTAATCAATATTCAACTATCACATTCCTGAGATTAATGAAAAGCTGTCTTTATCGAATTAATATGCAAATGTATAATGATAATTAATTACGCAATGGCAGATCTATAACTGTTCGTCAAAACTAAAATGTCTTAACATTTGTATTTTGATAATATAGTCAATTTCAATATTTGTTTCTATATGACAAGGAATAACTGGTTGACAAACCGACTATTTTTTATTAATAATATAAAATGAAACTTTTTAATATTAATTTAGTTTAAAACTAAGAAATAAATATTTGATTAATTTCATATTTGTCTCTCGTTGATTTTGAAAAGTTGAAAAAAAATTATTTTCAATATCATTAAAGAATGAATTTTGAAGAAAATTGAGATCATGATATAATTAAAAAACTGGAAATTGAATTAAAAAATATTAAGTGAATAAATAAAAAACATAAATATCTAAAATTACCAAAATTGCAAGTTAAACCGCAATTTTAAACTGTAATAATATATGGTGAAATATATATCATATATAGATATAAACAAAAAAAAAACTGTTGAACAGGCATCCATTCAGATAATAAAAAGGATGTCTAATATATGTTTTTATTTTTTTTTTAAAGTGCCATTCTGTTTAAGTCATAATTAGCTTGAATATCCTGTGGATATTCAAACCAGTTAATATTCATCCAGTATATATTCGAATTAAATAACTTACTTTCTCACAAATATGATTGTTAATCAAAACTCTTATCAATGCGGTTTTTGTGTATGTGCTTTTCAAATAATTTACATGTTCCATTCGCTAAATAAAAATGAAAGTCTATCAAATTCTTGTATTTTTTTAGAAACGTTTTCTTAGATAAAAAGCTGTTTTGTTTTTAATTACATCTGTATTATTATGTTAGCCAAGTTTTTCAGTATTTATTATAATTTATTTTTCATATAGCTTTTTAATTATATCTTATCAAATTCTAAATTGTATTACGAGAATATATAACAATTTTCTACATAAGGTATGACAGTCTTCTGAGTAAATGTTTTATATATGACAATCGATCACAATATACTGATCCTCGTTAAGAAAATAATTGGCAATCATTAATAAAAGATAAAAAGTGTATTTATATAAAAAACGGATCTGCCATTCCGTTTTCTATGGGCGATTCGCCAGCATCGTCGTCCGAGCAAACAGTCATCACCTTCATGATTTTATTACTTGCGTTTACCGTTATGATAAGTTTTGTAGGTCAGAATATTCTCAAACGATTTTTTCTTTTCAACAAGAAACGGGGCCCACAATGATGATTCGTATCGTATCACTTCGTATAGGTTTTATTATAATGAACTAAATGCAGTACAATATGTCTACAAAAACCTTGGCCCACATTATCGCCCGAGACGTGTGTGTCTGTATACGATGCATTTGTATGAATTTGCAAAATTTATTATTTCTGAGATGACCTTCTTTCTCAAATTTAAATCTTGCAAGGTGCAAGATACTGAATTATGAATATGTAACATTCGTCATGAAACGACTGGCTCGCGCAACCGATGTAATATTTCATAGGAAAGAGAATGGTATAGGCACAGATGTAAATGTCAAATATGTTCTATGGAGATATTAAGTCGATAACACCATTGACACAAAATTATGACTGGAAATTGATAATAAATGCAGGTTCATAAATTGCAAATTGCGATTATTAGAGTTTTGTGGAGATATGTCGACACTAACCACACCGATCAACTTCAACATCAACGAAAGGTACCTAATATAAATTGTAAATGTAAAAATTGTAAATAAAATAATAATAAATTTTATTTATAAAATATAATGAAGATTTAATATGTGTCAAAGGTACTGGAAAATATATGATCGAATTGTTATTTGAACTTGATTAGTAATTTTGTCTGTTTTCTTTTATTTATCCACTGTTTTTTACCTAAACTTAATGAAGATTTTTTTAAAATGCGAATAGAAACCAAATAAACAATTATCAAATTACCTGGCAAATACTTTCACAAAGTATTCATCATATCACTAATGGAAACTGTTCTAACATCAGTTTTTTTTAATTTCTCATCAGTAAATAGATGAAATAATTTATCAAACTGAGGACTACGATTACAGTTTTGGTAAAATCATATTTCCATAATAATTCAATCAAAAATTTTGATTGAATTATTATTAACTGGTGGTAGCTATAAAATTATCATCCAAACCACGCATGCACATCAAATCCGGTTCTGATACGAAATATTATTTAATAAATACTTTTATATTCAAATATCAAGCGTTTTGCAAGTGTTCATTGCCCGAGTATGCAAATTATGTGCAGATTTCTTACATCGATTGCAGTATCTTGTGAAATTATATATTATATACTGTATGTAAACTCAATATTTTACGTATAATATTGTCATAAGGAAATTAATACCACTTACTTCGGTTTGATATTCAACTATTTTTCATAATAGTTATAATCTTGTGTAATGATCGTTTGTTTTTTTATTATGGATCAAAATATTGTGATCGCAAATAACTTAATATTTACTTAGTGAATAATATTATATTTCAACTATATATAAAATATAGTTTGACAAAAAGCAATGAAAAGAAAATGTGGAGCATATTAATACAGGGAAAAACTCTGCTTCAGAGACTGTATTATTTTACCAGTTTTTTAATTTCTTCGTAGATAATTTATAACAATGAGAGAAGACGAAGAAAAGACACACACATTAATATATAATTATTTCTTATATAGATTAATAATTTAGAACAATGTAATTTCGCGTTCATACAAATAAATACTCCAATACAGATTTGTACTATATTTAATAAGTATGTTGACAGCATGCATGAGTATACAAATAATAATAGGCAGAATAAATATTGAATCTAGAACACAGACGGCCAGTTGCAAATAAATGCAATCGTACATATTTGTAAATGATATATGTATCATTTCAGAAAATACATATGCATGTGCAAATCCAGACTTATACGACCTGGATGAGTTTTCTTGAAACAGAGAAAAAAAAATATATTTTTAATAGGTTTTCTGGAAATTTTATATGTTAGCACAAACTTAAAGTATTTGAAATTTTTATATAAGAAACAAAGTCTAATCGAAAGTAGTATATACTAGCTGAATAGAGAAAGAAAAGAAATTAGGATACGAATTTCTTAACACTATGTAGAAAACTAATAATTTTAGCAAATAATGATTCATATTACTTTGATTATAGCATTGCAAAAACGAAACAATTGAAAAAATCACAGTTTTCTTAATAATATTGATGGAGGAGTCTTTGTTCAGCTATTCGAGGAACAGTTTCATTTCAATCAATTGAATCCATATAAAATGAATCAATAACTTGTTTAAATAAAAAACACTCTAAGTGATGCTAATTCAATAGGTTGTAATTAATAAAAATATACTTAAAACATTGCAATTGGACAAAATCTGGGAAATCTGATTTATTGAGAGTACTACCCCCGAATTTCCAGAAGTTTTTGATAGAGACCGTGAATTGAATTGATTTTTTAAGTTTCATTATAATTTTTCAAGTGAAGAAGTTTCTATGATCATCGTGACCTATTGCATCTGAAGCAACTTTGCCATGATATATTACTTGATTTAAAACTTGGGCCATTCTCCAAAGTGCATTAGAAATATATTATTCATTCGCAAAGACACGAAGTCTAGCCAGATGTTTACATATACTGCACATGTCGCAAGAAGATGTTCATTCGAAGAATATTGATTTAAGCATTTTAAAATTTTATAATCGTAGAGCTTAGCAAAATTTGTAAAATATACAGGAAAAATTAGAAAGGAAGGAAGGAAAGTCTGGGTATGTGTTAATTTTTTTCCGGCGGTTTTAAAGTCGATCAATTTTGAAAATTGTGTAAATAATATTATGTAAGTAATTTTGATTTATGTCATAGAAATGTTAATAAAAATTAGGCATAATGAACGAAAAATGTTCACATTTGGACTTAAGCGAGTCTGGGCTGTACTTAGAAGCTCATGATTTTCAAACTGCATGGGATAGACTTTTCTTCTAATTAATAGTAACAATCAAATACTGTCATCCTGTTTCGGTTTAACGTTGAATTTTGGGACACCCTGTATAAAATAATTATATTGAAAAACAAAACAATAATTATTTTAATCCTCAATTGTTTTTCTGGCTCTCCGTCTATTTCGAGCTTTCTAAAGGAGATGGTTCGGCAAGATAAAACGTTAATAGAAATTCTATTATATTATAAATTCTACTATTTTTGACAGATCGTGCTTAATATAGAAACACGATATTTACTGTATGCGATTGTTTCAATCACGATTTTAAGTAACAGTATTTGGGAACTGCCGCTTTATTTATATCTATTAAAAAGATTTCGGCACGTTATTATCATGTATGAGTTCTATAACAATAGAGAACGAGAAAGTTTGGTATTAATAGTGAATGTAATTTTATGAGACATGGCAAATAAGCTTATTACATCATGTAACGAAACAAATTCGGAGTTCAGATTCAGGGCAATACATATTTTACATACATAAATTTATTTAGTTTTTAGATCTTATTAATGTTTATTTCATATTCCCTGTATATTATTCTCAAGTCTAGATATCGTTTTTTGCAAAATCTAAGCAAATAATGCTTGTACAAAATGAATTATGATAAAAGTGTAAATAAAAAATCTAATATTCTTACAAGATTGTAATTTAAGCAGTAAAAGTGTAAAGTTCATCCATCGAAATGCCTACACAATCTGTCATTTATATATGATATCATGAATATCAAAGACTGTTTGACCTCGCACTTGTGTTACTTAGAATTATATGTAAATACATATGTTTTCATACATTTGTATGTGTATATTTACAAATGTTGTGCTTTATGCGGTTATTTATAATCGTAATATATTGCCACGACCTACCTACGCTACAAAATTTAGTGGTCAATGTCGATCAAACGCGAAACGATACATAAGTTTTTATCAATTAACCTAATAAAAATTATCATACACCTATTGTGCAATATACAAACTTAATACACAACTTATGAATCGGTGGAAATATATTTATTGCACGTATGTATCATCAAAAATGTTATTTACCGCAAAATGTAACAATTTAATTATGATACTGTTTGGGGTCTGATTATTCAATTAAAACTATATATATATATATATATATATATATATATATCTTCGTTTATCGCCAAAGATATAGTTTCATATTCTTTAACCGCAATAGATTAAAAAGCCTTCTATTCCTGTATGTAAGTCCAAAACAGGAAACAGAGAATGCATCAGATAAAAATTATCAATTTGTATCACCTTAATTTTATTTAAATTGTTTATGAAACAAATGTATCAATAAATTGTATAATGCAATAATATAATTTAAAAAAAAATATTCCGATCTACACTAAAATGCTTTTAGCGCATGATCGGCCAATCGTCACAGAATGTATTTTCAACTTATATCACAACTTAAGAGCAATAATAAAACCAGTATTGCAATTATTAAAGGTAAAGAGAAAAGGGTACCGTAAAATGTCTGACAAAATTATAATAATAAGTGACATTTATCTTATTTATCAACCTTAATCCCAAATGCAGACAGTTGATTAAGAGACTTACGTAAAATATTAGCAGATCCGCCTTGGAACTTCAGAATTAGCATGGAATGACCTCAGATCACCACGAAAACCTGAAAAAAAACAAATAGTTGAAATTGGTAATTACAAAAATTTTTAATTTACACATCCGCAAATCAAAAGTAAACGAAAAGAATATATAGCATCGTTTACAACAAAATAGCAATAACATATTCCCATATTTATAAGATATGCTTTATATTTGACCACATCACTCGATCAAATTATTCAGAAGCTAAAATCTTGACCTGTAAGGTGTTCACAAAGTATCAGGAACTTTTCAATTTCTCGGGTTTAGAGAGTACGATTGCCAAAAAAAAATGTGTTGTATAAAGAAATTTAAAAATTCTTAGTACTTTTTGAACACACCTCGCACACTAGTTAATACATATTGATTAAAATTAACAAGTGATTCATTGTAATTAATACTGATTTACATATCAAATTATGAACTTTGAAGTACCGTACGATTACGAGCCATGAATATTGATAAACAGAATGTAAGACAAAGAAGTCCAACATGATTATGATTGAATAATTGCTAGTTAAGTATTGTAAAAAAAAATTCTTAAGAATTTTTATTAATAATTACACAGTAATGAATATACCATAAATAATAATTTTATTGTAACTGTGTTTCTAAAAGAGTACAATTGCAGCTAAATTTTTTTTTAAGCAAAGACAAAAAGTAACGTTGTTCAAATTTTAATAACTTAACTTTCTTTTTTTTTTGGGTATCAAGAAGAGGGCTTCTTTGTTTGAAGTTTTGAAATAAAATTAAATTTTTTGCTTAATAATGATATAAAATTCTTATAATCCTCAAAATACTCAATAGAGATTTGAACCAAAACACTGGAGAGTACAAATGTGTACAAATTAAAATTCCGAAGCTTTCAAAACTTATTAAATACAGTGCTTGGAAGCATAAATATATATTTATATCTAGAAGAAAATTGATGGAAAAAAGCATCCCCTAATCTAAAACCACTTTAATTTTTCTTCGTCAAGAGTCGAAATTAGTTTTATACGTTCACCTAAAACAAAATTTATAAAAGTATAAATGAAAAATAGTTTTAGAAAGTTAATAACATAATTGAATCTTAGCCCAACCGATTTTTTTTTTGAAAAATCATATTCAATCTCATAAAATCTTTATTTGTACTTTTTGCTTTAGATTAAGTACAATATACAATATTACCCTATACAAAATTATTTGAATGATCACGATTTATTAGTAGGCAATAACCTAGATTAGCAACAATTACAGGTTCCGGGTTCGATACCCACCCCGGACAGCTTAAGCTTAAGAAATTAATCTCAAACAGTCGTAGCATCAGATTTTTACTTGAGATTATAAAGATCTCAAAATTTGATATCAAGCCAAAATTGCATTTCGAGCGTATTGCTACAAAAATAATTAGGTCTAAATCAGTATGTTAAAAATAAAGGCACAACTAGGAGGGAGAACTACTCTAGGTTACAAACAGTAACCTAACTAAATTTCATTATAACAGATAGATTGTAATTCTAATATAAATAAAAAGATATTTGATAACAACTTTTGAGCTTATTTATGAAATTCAAAAAACAAAACGAATAAAATCGAACGTTTCTTTCCGTCGCGACACGCCTGAAGCCGTGAGAAAGTTGCACGGTCAGTTACTGAAACCGAGGTCACTAGGGCGGAACTTGCTAAAATGCTCACTTACCATTACCATTCGTACAAATAATTTAATTAAATCAACTTTCATTTATCGACAATAACTTTCTGAATTAAATTTCACGAAAAATATAATAGATTTGAAAATATTGCCGTCTTCAATTGTACGCTTCTAATTGTTGCACAGTATGCCACAATTTTCTCTATTGATTAATTGCTTGGTATAAATTGATATAGCAAAACCTTCTAGTTCTTGAGGCCTTTACTTCTGCTCCCCTGTTTTTGCTTTTGTGCATTTGTTTTCTATATCATGTATTTTGTTGGCCACCATCTTCATCTTAGTCCTTTCAGTCCTTCTATTTTTCCTTCCATGATGTTCGGCAGAATGATCTGCTTTCTGGAATCAGACAGCAGAGATTTTCTTGTAAAATCTCTAATCCTTTTTGAATCATTCATTTTATTCAGCTTTTTCCATCAGTGCATTTACATTTAATAATTCACACTCCGCATATGAGTCATTAAACATTATTCATTATGCATTATAGAATCATCACCGCAAACAAGCTTCGATTAAAATCTATCTTCCGATGAATTTTTATAACCGAGACTACCTTGAGGAGGAGCTCGTCTCGTGAAGATTTCTACGTTGTTTTTATTATTCTAACCGTACGCATCCTGATTAGATTGAATTGAGTGACATTTTAGAATTAGGTTATGCCGTCACTGAATTATGCCATGTCATAAATATGCTAAATAATATGAGGATAGAGAAAAATCGACGAAGAATGTCTTTTGGTATAAATCATACAAGTGAATGCATGAAAGATGCTTTGGACAAAATACGTTAGTCTTGGCATATTTAAATCACTCAATATACTGTTATATGTTGAAAAATTGATTGAAAATTGTTATACATATCTTGCAAAATTATTTACATATGTATAGATTTCAATATGCTAAAAATATATTATTTTTACTAACCATTAAATTTAGAAAAAGTATTGAAATCATTAACCAAGGGTCATAAGGTTGCATGCCAAATTGCAATTGCATTTGCATTTTTTCTGCAACAAATTGTATCAGAAAAGTGAATAAATACATATAAAGCAGTCGCAAATCAATATAAACAAACATTGTTTTTTTACTTCATTAGCAATCAGATCGTAATTACGACAACCTTTATTTGCATTCAAGCGTTAGAACAATTAGTCGTTTGTTATATAAATCAACTAATAACATTCGAAATACAAAGACCTGCAAGTCTGATCTCGGATAAGTTTGCAAATGTATCTGATTAATATATTAAGACAAGATAGTCGAAATAAGAGAAGTTGATGCATCACTACTTGCTTATCATAAGATAATGTAATACGATTTCAATTTTTATCAAGTATAAATAGAGTAAGTATACATTAAACCTAAAACAGCAAAGCAAAAAAATATAAATAAACCAACGAATTTTACTTTGAACTATATTACTTTGTATTCTGACTGTTTTATATTTTTGCAAACAAATGGTAAAGTCTTGAGCAATAATAAAATCAATTTCAACAAACTTTCTGTATAAAATTATTTGTATGTTTCCGAAACCGCTTGTTAAATTTTACTTAAATTGCAAGCAGTTATCAGCAAAAACATATTTTTGCAATAAAAATATCGAACGGTACTAATTTTTTAATTGCTGATTACAACTTAGTAAATTAAGTCCGAAAGAGCGAACGATAACCTAAGATAAGTAACTCAGAGCTAGCGAAACTTTTGCTATCCTGTAGCAGAAACATATTGCAGGTTTGCAGAATAGCAATTAACAATAAATAAAGTATAAAAATGTTGGTCTGATGGAATATTCACAGCAACATCATAGTTTTTCACCTGCCAGAATATAAAAAATAAACTTTTTTAGGTAACTTTGTACTTTGTACTTTTGATGCGGTCGGATGCCGGTTTTGTCTCTCAGATTCAGATTTAAAGTACATATAAAGGAGTAAGTATAATATAAAATTTGTATTGAAAAATCAGCTCTACTTATTAGAAATTTCTATATAAAATCTATAATTCATTGGATAGATAACGTCCACGCTCCCCCAACTTCCAACATCAAAATTAACACTAATTTTATGTTTCCTTGATGAATAGTTGTATGATTTAATTGAATGCATATATTTCACTAATATCTTATGTGGCTTGGGGACCTAGGTACCTATTTTATCAAAGACAAATTCACATGTTTTATTCTTTTTGAAAACTTTTGTTCTATTTTCCTGCAGCTTAAAAATGATGTGGTGTTATAAAATCCTGAACATCCAGGGCCCTTTCAGATACTATAGTTTAAAAATTATTATTTTGCCAACTTTCAATCATTTCTGTCACTTTATAAAAAAAAGTGCACTAACTCTGGGTTAATAATATGCATATTTGCATCGTGCATTAAGCAATGCGATATTTATATGTAACACCTCGCCCGCAACGAAATTGCGACACATGCACGCAGGTTCTAAATACCGATAAAAGTCATGTTTACAAATTAATTTTCAGCAAATATTGATAATTTTGCATATATTTTAATTGCATCATGTATCAGGAATTCAACTGTACTGCAAGATTTAGGATGAAGAAAATGGGCACCGGTTCCAACTTTTTAATGTAGTTTTGTTCGCTCGTTTGAGCGAAAACTATTATGAAAAGTTATCAGCTTATATAAATAGTTGATCAGTATTATTTATGAAGTTAAAAAACGATTTTTTTCAAAGATCGGGTAAATTTGTTTTTTTTTTAAATAAAATGAACAAATCCAGCAAAGGAAATCTTTTTAGTAATTTCAACCATTAGCTTTGGTAAACTATTGTTGAGTATTGAATTATATTTTGCTACATATATTGATAATTTAAAATTTAAATATGTCACTATTAAAGTTAAATAATCTAAATGTAATGTTTACATTTAAATATGCTAATTATATCCAGATAGTTAATACTAATAAAGTTCTATCTAAAATATTTGACTACAAAGTTGTACTATGTCACCAACAGACCTGTTATTCAAGTTTATATTGAAATGTAATAGGTACATGTCACTCAAAATACCTATCAGATATAGAGATTGTCTGTTAGCCTCAGAACATTTATATCTCATTACTGATTAATTCCTAAAGTGGGGAAGGAGAGCATACCATACTATAATACATATACCTATCTATTTTACCTATGCATAAAATTAAAATAAATAATATTTCATATTTGATTTACTAATTAGATTACATTTTTTGAGTCGCAATTACAAAATGATTAATGAACTAGGATTTTATGCGTGCAGCTATTATTGTAGGTTATGCCAAAAGGTTAAAGAGGAGGTGGCTTTTAGATGATTTATCTAAAGATTAGAAATACCTGTACA